CTGGAGAAGAGAGGAAAACAACTGGCCGCAGAAACCCAGATCACATTTCACAGTCCCATTCTCAGCTAACCCCTCTTCCTTTATTCTCTTGCCCCCCGCCCTCCCCTCCCCTCCCCCCCCCTTCACCCCCCACATCCTTTGAGGTCCATTCTTTGAGCCAAGGGTTGCTCTGCCCATGATAGCCCAGCAACGCATTCCCACCATTAAAAGGACCAGTCTTTGGAACCAGCAGATGCTGCTGTCAGTTGGGTAGAGGAAGGAGGGCAGGAGAGGGGATGGCGAGGGAGGCTCCAGGTGAGAAACAGGGGTAGTTTGCATCTCCTCCTCCACACAATGGAGAAGGATAAATATGTAATAGGCAGAGGGCTTAGGACAAGGGAAAAAAACAGAGGGCTAGATTGGGCTGTGGAAGGGCTTAGGAGAGTGGAAGGGTTAGGGAGGGCTTAAAAGACAGAGTCCCAGAAGGAAGGGGAATTGGGAAATGTCTGCTAGGTATCACAACAGTTACAACAGGACTTGGTCACACATCAACAAGAAATAGGGGACCTACAAAAACCTAGAATTGGCCGGGACTAATGGGCCTTAGGGATGTACAGGACAGGAAGGACAGTTTGCAATTCCGTGAATGAGGCAGGGCCACTAGATAGAGGGAGCTCTAAGGTGGGAAGGGTAACACTTGCAGCTCCATGGGAGAATGATGCTCCAGGGTAGGAAGTGTGATGGCTATAGCCCCAGGAAACAATGGCAGAAAAACAGTGTTGCAAGACGTATCCAAGGGACGTTGGACCCGGTTTCCAACAGGTGCCGGGCCCCACCAATAGATGGAGCAGCCGACAGATAAGCCCTCAATTCTGGTGGTTCTCTCACCACCACTGGGATAGAGGGCTTGCCGAAGGGCTATTCTTTGAAGAAAAGAAAAAAGAAAAGAACCGATGTTCTGGGGGACATCATGGGCTAACTCATGGGGCATTTAGACTGATAAGAAGCTTGCTGTCCAAAGTGCCGGGGTGACAACCAGGGCTGGTGGTGGGTTGTCTGCCTATGGTAGTGTCGGTGCTTGCGACTGCTGTCTGATAGATCTGTAGGAGGTCCTTTTTTTTTATGGTAGGCCAGGAAAGGACGATGGGATGGATGGGCCTTCTGAGGAGTAGGAAACAAAAAAAAGGTGGCCAGCAATGCCACCTTGTCATCAAAAAAAAAAAAAACGAAAGTTTCTTCTTCCCAAGGAAAAAGGTCCCAGTGCTGAAGGCTTCATTTTCCAACAAAACATTACACATGCACCTGGGCCACTACCCAGGGATAACCACTAGCGGGGGCTTAGACCTGGTTTTGAATAAACACCTGTTCCTGATCTGCTCACCTCACAGCCACACAATGGCCATGTTGTTAGTCGAGGAGTAGGGCTGAGTCAGTACTATGGAGAGAGTTCTACATGAGAAGGGCATCATTCGCAGCCCCTGAGGGAAAATGTAGCTCCAAGGCAAAGGTCAAATGACTATGGCCCGCTCAAAAAGTGCGCTAAAGTTGTTTCTAAGGGACGCTGGACCCAGTTTCCAGCAGGTGCAGCTCCCCACCAATAGACGGAGCAGCCCAGTACCCAAGACCTCAATCCCGGCGGTTCTCTTACCACCGTCAGGATAGTGGACTTGCAAAAGGGCTTTCACACCAAAAAAAAAATAGAAAAGAAGAAAAAGAAAGAAAGAAAGAAAGAAAAATACTTGAAGGAAAACTAAACGACAGCTAGTGGGACTCAGTCCCGAGCTCCGGCTTATTGAAAGAGGACTGATGGGCCTCACTCGATTCGCAGGCTGAGCCCCATCCCCTTAGCCAAGTCTGCCTCAACGCACAATCCGACTACTTACTTGTCGATCAAATTTCAAAGGCCCAATGCCAACACCTTTTTAAGCCCAACCAAATCAATTACCTGTCGAATCTGGACAGGAGGCCTCTCAGGCCATTTTTTATTGTCATTATGACTCACAATGGTATTATTACAGGGAGCCCTGCAGCAGTCACATCTGTGTTCAAGCCTCCAAGGGAGGATGTGGGAGCTGCACCCACCAGCAGGTGCAATACCTGCTACAGCACGCGCGTGTTACTCGCCAGGGGTCAGCCGGTAGCATCAGGACCGAACTTCTTCGATGGGCCCGTCTCTCTGCATCCCCTCCGGTCCCCTCCCGTTACGAACATCAGACTCTCTGCTCAATGCCACTCCAAGGGACCAACGGCCTATCTCTAGGTGGCGGATGCCAAGCTTGCTCAGGAAGGTACATGAGGCCAATGGGGATTGAACCCAAGATCTCCTGAATGCCACTTGTGTGCCTTACCAACTGAGTGAGGCTGCTGGATCAGAATGCAGTTTGAGTGATTGTGAGCCTGCTGACTTTTACAGTAAAATAGCTGAAAGGGTGAGGGGAAACTGTGGGGGTCGGGCTATAGGAGTCCGCCATAAGGTGGGACCCTACTGTGCGGGTGGCAGGGTAGTATTACACGATGGAGACTGAGCGTAAAAATGCCTGAGTGCGATAGATGGGGGAACAGGGGGTGCGGCAGGAGAAACGTTGAGGGTAGAGTGAGCGGGGCATCATGGGCAAGGCAAGGAAAAAGGTAAGTGGGACCTTCCCGCTGCAGGACCGTGCCTTTACCTGGCGGGGTGGTGATTTTTTGGGCTTGGGGGACCTTGCCGATACATGGTGGAATTGGAGGGCAGTACGTGGCCACGGGGGCACGAATGGATTTCAAACTCCCCCACCCCACCCTCTTTTTCAATAGCGCGATGGCCTCCACTACCTTTCCCATATATCGGCCACAGGGGAGCCCCCCTGAGTTTCGAAGGCCAGTAACGCATTTCGCAATGTAGGCGAAATTCCTCGACAAAGGGGTATTTTCTTCAGCATCAAAAACAAAATCTGGCTCAAAGGCCCCCAATGAAATTTATCAACGCCGGCCCAAGGGCGGCCCGAGCCCCGAAGAATGCAGTATAGGTATAATTGGTACATTCCCACTTGGGACCACACTGTGAAATGCCCCAGGTGAATTGAGAGTTAAACCACCAGTACTTGGCCCAGCTACCGATGCCGAGCCTGCGCGCCGGCCCTCGGAGGTCGACGAAACGACATGGGCTGTTGATGTGATTTATCCACGGCCCGCAGGCCGCGGAATTTGTGTAGCGTTAACGCTAAGGGCCCACGGCCGATGTATGGGCCAAGTACTGGTGGTTTAAGGCCATACTCATCACACTAGGCCCTCAAAATCGCAGAATCTCAAAATGAGCGGCCAGATTGAGTCCTTGTAAAAGATCGACTCGATCTGGCTGCTCATTTTGTGATTTTGTGATTTCGATTTGAGGGCGTATTGTGAGTATACTCTTACTCATTCCCYCCCCCCCCCCCCCCCCCCMAAAAAAAAAAAAAAAAAAAAAAACTCTTTTTATTTTTTATTTTTTATTATTATTATTTTCAAAAAAAGTCCAGGATGTTGTAGAGGCTAGTTACCAGGCACACAGGGATCACAGGGAGCGATGAGCCTTCGCAGTCCTAAGATACGAGGTCACCTCCCACCCTACCACTCATCAATACTCCCAGCGTACCCCCTAACCCAACTATCTTAGCTCAGTGTAACCCACTCAGGACCATCACCCCACCGCTAGGTAGGTGACTTGGACTAGACAGTAGTGATAGGCACCGAGGCTAACTATTACCCCAGCCCCAGTGGAAGCGAAATCGGACAGGCCTCGCTGTACGGGAACTTCGGACGCTAGGCACCACTATATTCTACCAACCTCGTATCCTTATTGTAGAGATCATAGACACCTGGGTTTTATTTTCGGGGACAGCTAACTAGCAGTCAGTACCCCAGCCAGACAGCCTGCCGTCCTTCCCCTAGCTTACCCAAGGCCAGGCGGAACTCAGACTGACAGTCCTACGGTCCTTCCCCTAGCTTGCCCCTATCTTGGCTAGGTGGAACTCAGACCTGCTGGGGTAACTACCGTATTCTATACCCTAGAGTCTAAGTCTATTCTACCCCTCCCCCAGTCAACTGTAGATGCATGTAAGCCCTTAGGCCATATGTATGCGCTCAGGAAGCCATGGATGTAGGCTATTTATGATGTATGTGTATATATCCGGAAGCCAGTTGTATACCCGAAGGCAGTATTAATCATATATAGGGCCGAAGGCCATATGTCAGCACTATGTGTCAGCACTATATGTGTGTTGAGAATACCATGTATAACGGGCCAGACTGGATGGACCCCCCCAAAGTCTCTGACCAGGCTCGAACCCGTGACCTGTGAGATGTAACTGGCAGACTCAACCGTATGAGCAACAATCGGAAACGTGTGTGTGGTATATTAGACCGGGGAGGAGAATCGAACGACCAAGACCAACACCCAGAGCAAGCCTTGCGTTACCCAGACGGGACTTGATCCCCTGACCAATACAGGCAGGGTCTGTAATCATGACCATGTAGTGGTCAGAGGGTAGTGTATGTCCAGCCCTGCGTCATTCTAACGCCCTTCCAGTGTCCATGCGCAAGGCCGCAGATTTGAACCCACAACCTCGTACCACAATGCGCATTTCCAACGGGTGCTCTAACCACTGAGCTACTTACTCGAGGGGGTATCGAACTGTGGTCTGTAATTCAACAGCTCATGGTGTACCCGTTATTGAATGCTTTTGAACTGAACTGGCGGTCCTCTGGGCGGTACACGGCGTGGGCGCGTTCTTTTTGAACGAGGCAGCCGTTAGGTACCGCTGCTCGGCGGTGCAAACGAAAACCTCTTCGCGGTCATTGGAAGCGGTGAGCGAAAAACGAGCGAGCATTCGATGCACGAGGGCGGGAAGAGGTCGAGATTGGCGGGAAGAGGTCGAGATTGGCGGGAAGAGGTCGAGGTTGGCGGGAAGAGGTCGAGGTGTGGCAATCTGTCGTTGTTCCTCGTGGAGGAGAGAACGAGCGCGCCGCGAGAAGAGCTGTGAGCAAAGCTATTGATATCTGTCTGGTACGCTGGAGAAGGAATTGTTGAGAACAGCTCTGAGAACAGAACTGCCGGAGTACGTTCCGTACAGGTACTGAGGACAACTCTCTCTCTCTCTCTCTCTCTCTCTCTCTGTGTCTCTCTCTGTTTGTGTGTTCGTTTCTACTTCCACGCTCTCCCCTCTCCCTCGATGTCTTCACCCCAGACGTTGGAAGCGGCAGAGGAAGACAATCCACTTGGAACAGTGCTGATGTCCTGAAAGAGGAACGGGAACCGGAGGGCGTCGCAGTTAAACCCTAAAAACAACATACACGTCTTCGGGTTTGGCTCGGCTTCCTCTATAGCGCGCACGCCCAGGCTGAAGAAAGAAAGAGAGAGAGAGAGAGAGAGAGAGAGAGAGAGAGAGAGAGAGAGAGAGAGAGAGAGAGAGAGAGAGAGAGA